CTCACCAGCATGAATAAGGTCTGTTTTGAGACAAAAGAGTAATGGGCCTTCAGCAAGGGGAAAAGTCTTAAGTGGAATTATTAATATGCCAGTGGGCTTTGTCCTGCCTCAGGTTTTGCTAATCCTCCTTATTTTGTTGCCCCTGTCCCTTTTGTTCCTGTGGACCACTGCACTTGTTCTCTTGCTTTGCTGAGCAGTGCTGTATACTAACTGGTGCTCTGTTTTTCCTGGATCTCACAACCCAAAGTCTCTCTGGAATGTTCCTCCAGCTATTTGCCTTGCAGGGCTTCAGCTCCCTGCTTTTGCAGGGCACTCTGGTTTAAATTCCTCATCTAACAGATACAATAGTCTGCCAAATAGTAAATCCCTCCCTTGCATCTGTGTATCTTGTGTACCTAGTTAGAGGACTCCCCAAAATCCATACCATTAGTATTGATCATACTACTTGTTGTTATTTAGGTACAGAACGATCTCACTATTAAAAACATTTTTTAAAGTAGTCCAACAGATTAGAATCTTCTCAAAATTGTTTTTAATCGATATATACAGGAAAAGCAATTTTAAACACAGTGAGTTTTTTTTTCTTGACTCCCACAGTGACTCAATATGCACCAGTGTAGGAGGTGACCCTCCCTGCATCTGTGTGGTGTGTCGTGTTCATGGCCCTCTCTGAAGGGGTGCACAGATGTCTCTTTCAGATTTCTTCTTCTCCATCAATGGAAACAGTGGGATTTCCCTGGGCTGCAGGCTCTGAGGCAGCTGCCTTTTTGCTGTCCAGAAAGGGGAGAGCCACTTACACACCTTGCTTCCCATTGTGTCTGTCGGATGCGTGTGCAAGCTCGTAACCAGTGGCTAAATGGGAACTGCAAATATTTGTCCTGAAGAAGCATCTCCAGAAAGTGTAACATTGGCAGCACCATCCTCACTGGGCTCTCCAGGCTCCGAGTTTTCGGGGAGCTGTCAGTGGAGATGGTGCAGGTTTTGGGTATGGAGCAGAAGGAGCTGTTGGTAGCACCCTGTCCTCGGGAGCTCCGTGGTTCCTGGTGAGCAGAGGGAGCCCACCCAGCTCTGCTGGGAACCATCATTTCTTGCAGTTGTCTCTCTGCCACTGACCATTTGAGATGATGCTCTCGAGGAACGGGCACATTGGCCTGTGATGAAGTGACTGCAAGATCCTCACAGCCTACTCATCTTCCAGCCCTTGGTTATACTGACCAGTTCATCTTTGCAAGAGTTTTAGAAAACTGGTTGCCTCTGCTTAGTCTTTGAGCTAGTTTGAGTCATCCCTTCCAGGAAAATCCTGTGTAACCAGCTGTGGCTCTTACAACACGCTGCTCCATAAATACCAGCTGCTTACAGGGAGCAGTCCTGCACGAGTGTCCCCAGCCAGGACTCCTACTACTCCTGCATTAACATCAGATACTGAACGTTTTAGCAGGTGTTGTATTTTGCAGCTTTATCAGAAAGTAACGCTTGATTTTGCACAAAGACCAGTACAGTTTTAATGGAAAAATTCCCAAGGTGCAGGTAGTGAAGGATGGCTGCATTTGGGACTAGAACTATCCTGGTGTCTGACCTAGAGGAGCTGCTGTTCCTCTGAGTGGGTCCGGGCGTGTCGTGTGAGCCCTGCTCACGTGGTGACATTGCCACCTCACTTCTGAGACCTCAACCTCCAAATGGCTTGAGCATAAGTTTTACTTTGATACTTTCTTTTAGAAAAATGGGGCAACAGAGCTTCACAAACAGAGCAGCAGAGCCCCTCCTTTAGCTGACAGTAAATCAGACTGGCTCTCAGCTACATAAAGCTGCAGGACTAGAGAAGGGGGCTCAGGGATTTATTCCCCATGCCTGTGGGCAGGGAGGGTTTGAGCCCCACCTCTGAGCTGGGAAGGGGCTCAGCTAGAAATTTAAGTCACAACTAACTGGGATGTCCGGAGACCCATCCATTGGAATGCAGTGACCTGAACCACGGGTAGAGGCTGCAAATAAGGCTTGTCCCTGTGGAAGAGGCACTGGAGGCAGGCTTGGAAAGCATACTGATGTGGTGTGCTGCAGATGCATGCTGAGTGTGTGATTTTCAGCGTTCAGTGCCTACATTGTTGGATAAGCGGATTAGAAAACATTGCATAAAGTGGCATTGCAGGGGGCTGGCTTTATACCTGCCCCTCGCCTGGCTGTGCAGACCCTGGCTTCACAGCAGAGCCCTTTCAGAGCTAGCGCTGAGATTGTTCACAGGGATTGGCCTTTTTAAGAACCAAGGGGTCACAGTTTCAGATTCACTTAGTTCTCAAAGCTGTGATATTTTTCTTTTGGGGTCAGGGCTGGTGGCAGACATGTGGAGGTTTTTTTTTACCTAAACTCACTTTACCCTTAAAGGTAAATACCTGGGGCTCAGTGAGCTCCTCATGTATTGAAGATGGTTGGGTTCTCTTTCTCTGCTTTGCTGTGGGTTAAAGAGTTTGGGTTTGGTTTCCTGCTCCTTAACGCTCCAAATTTTCAAGTTTACAAGAGGAAACCATTTGTCTGCAGTTTATACTCGTGAATCCAGGCTCCTCAGGTCCATTTGCAAAGACATGATGAGATACTCAAGTTCAGGGGAAATATCTGTGGATCTTACTGGCCACTGAGGGAATTTGCCAGGTGACATCCCTGGTCAGTGCTGCTGCCTGAATGTGCTCACTCCTCCTGGCCCCGGCTGGGCGTGGAGCAGCTGCACGAGGAGGCTGCTGGAGCTGCAGGACAAGAAGTCTTCTCCTTGGGAGGTCACTCACTGAGTGCTGCTGGAGCTGCTGGAGCAGCCTGTCAAGCACAAGTGCTTCTGCAGTCAGTTTTTTCAATGGCCCAGGCTTTTCCATCCAAAAGGGTTGTCAGTCCCAGGGGCACAGTGGTTTGAAGGGCTCTGTGGCTGCAGAGCAGATAAGTGCCAGCTGTACTGGCAGGATCCCCAAACCTGTCCTTGTGCTGTGCTGAAGGAGCAGGGGATGGGCTGTTCCTCAGAGGAGTCCAGGCTGTTCCCACACTGGGCTTCCCATTCTTCCCTTCTCAAAAGTCAGTGTTCTGAGCAATGGTCTTGGTTCTCCCCAGTTCTGTGTGGAATTAGGACCAGACCAAAAATGGGATTGTTTTTTTTTTAAATGGTAGGGAACTAAATAAAAATAATTTAAGTCCTCATGTGAGCTGTCAGTTTTTGACTCCTTAGACCTGTGTCAAGTCCAGTTTCAGAGCTCTGGCAGAAGATTTTTAACGTGGAGCCTCTGAGGTTGTTGCAGGTAGCTGTGGTCTTTGGCTGATGTCCTGTGGGGTTTTCTTCCTCTTGTCTGCAGGGACACGTGTGACAACCACACGACCTGCTCCACCAGCTCTGCCTCCAGCCTCGACACCAGTGCCCAGTCCCAGGAGAGCAATGGGCAAACACAGAGCTCCAGGTGGGACGAGCAGCAGAAAGTCTTTGCCCTCGAGCAGGTCTGTGGTGTCTTTAGAGTGGACCTGGGACAGATGAGATCCCTTCGCCTCTTCTTTAGGTAACGTGTTCCTGGGGGATCTCTGGGTTGGCTCTGGAGGCAGCTGGCTTCTGCTGTCC